TAAAAACATATTTTTAGAATATACTTATCAAAATCTATAAAATAAAATTAATATTCAATATGAAATTGTGTAAGAAGAAATTGAGAAATTTCACAGTTATGAAAGGAGATTTCTCAATTTTTTAGAACCCTAAAATTTCATAACTTGTGCGGTTTAAGTAACTGCAAAATTTCACACTTGTTATGTAGAAAAAATGAAATTTTACTTTTGTGTAAAAATTGAAATTTTATTAAAAAAAATATGATTCTTTATATATTTAAAAAATTACAAAATTTCTTGATTTCTATGTCTGAGAAACTCCAAAATTTCACCGTCACAATTTTGTATAAAAATTGTAAATTTTAGTTACATGATAATGTTCACTGTTTTTAAGAGTTGCAATTTTTCTCAATTTTTTAAAAAGCAATGTTAGGGACTTTAAACAAATTATCAAAATTTCTACATAATACTCACATAAGTGTGCCACATCCATGTGAGTATTGAGTAGAATATTTGATAATTCTTTTAGCGTTTAGCATTTTTATTTTTAAAAATGCAAAAATTTACAATTTTATAAACCTAAATTTTTTTAAATTCTATTAAATATTTTTTATGCATACCTTACTTTAAAACGATCTCACACATCATTTAACTTGTTTATGCATACCTTACTTTTTTAACAAGGATGTTTGAATCAAAATGTGATGCAATGAGTTTTAAAAATGGGATAATTTCATTTTGAAAAATGTTAGGAACCCATCCTTATGAACTCATAACTTATCCTGAATATGTTTGTGTGATAGAGATTAAATTGATAAAGTATGAAATCCATGAGTAAAATAAATTTGAACCATTGATTTTTTTTTGGAGTAAATTCTATGTTGATAAGGATGAGTTTGTAGTGTTGTTATTTCATTTCATTGTATATTTATAAAAATATTTTAAATTAGTAGTAAATTTTATAAATATTAAAAAAATAAAATCATAATTTTTTTCATGCATTTGTAATTAACTTTTGAGAAAACCTCCAACATGTAATTTTCCCTTAAAAATCTTGAATTACGGGACCTATAGAAAATTTCAGCAACTACAAATTAAGGTATTTGATCAAAATTAATTACAAATACATGAGGACACAAGTTTTTTCTATGTAGAAAAATTCAACAAAAGTTGTACCCCACTAAAAAATCACGTTTTGCAATTATTTACCTGACTTTTCACTATTTTGTAATTTCCCTAGGAGATCAGTATCCATAATCTTAATAGAGATTGGATCTTCTCAAAATGGATATCCAACTGGATGGTCATTGCGAGCCAATTTCAGGGTATGTCTTATTAATCTAAATTATTCATTTTATAAGACCTCATAAGAAGATTATACATATTAAAAATTAAGTTGATCTATGTTGTCCGTTAATTATATTTTAGATGAATGTGATCTGATTGACTCCCAATATATAATCTCAATTAATAATTTAAATTATCGAATGAGTCCAAAATAAAATCATAATAAACTGAACTATCCCATTAATGGTGTGTTTGGTTGGAAGATTTGGGGAGGGATTTGAAAAGGGAAAGGGAAAATGTGTGTGAAACTATGTGAAATTTAGGCATGTTTTATTTATATTTAACCTATATTTTTCATTTCCTTTTCTAAAGAGAAAAAGTGTGTGAAACTATGTGAAATGTAAGTATATTTTATTCACATTTCACCAAACTTTTCATTTTCTCTTTCTAAATCCCTCCTCAAATCCCCAAACCAAACACAGCATAAATATCCCAAACCAAATGGAATCCAATCATAATTATAGATTGAGCATGGGTGGGATGATATAGCACAATGCTTCACGGTCACACTTGTCCGTCATGTCTCTATAAATTTCCTCATCAATCAACTTGGAATATGTTTTTGGTTAGCTAGTTTCTAAACAAGGTGGGATCAACATTCTTTTTTTTTTTTTCTTTTTTTTTCTAAAATGAAATAGAAGTTTGTAATATGTTAAAAATATTTGTTAAAACGTATTATATTACAAAAATTGATAAAACAATACTTTTGTATATTGTTTGTTACTTTAAAATATAAGACAGTGACATCATAAAAATATTAAAATGTGTGTTAAATAAGTACTAAATCTAATTAAATATGTATATGTATAATAAAATAATAAAAAATTAGCCATCTTTTTTCTCCCTCTCTCTTTTCATAACAGTTAAGTCTCTCATCAAACTATGGACACTTTAAGCATATTTATTAAAAGTATCTCAATAGACTTTTTATTGAAACTAGTTTTCTTTTATTTTACTCTTTTTAATAAGTTTGGCTTTTACATTATCTATTTTAACATTGTTAGTTCAAGTTAGTTGTATTTGAAGAGTTTTGAAAAAGTCTGCTTTGTATGAATAAATCAACAAAATAGTAAGTAATATTAGAATACAGAGATAAACAACATACTAACACCAATGCACGAAAAAACAGTACTTAGGCTTGTTTTAGGAAATATATTAAAAGTTGATTTTCTTTTTCTTTTTTTTTAAAAAAAAAACGTATAACAAGGTAGAAGATGTGATTCAAAAAAATTAAAAAATTAAAAAATTGACTTATAGCCGAGTTCTCAAAATGGATGAGGGGTCACTGTTGTGAGCCCCTCACTGCCTGTCCCTACTGTGCAGATGAAATGGCAACATTTTATGCTTTATTTGTTCTTCTTCTTCTTTTTTATTGTTGGGATAAAATGGTGTTTTGGAAAGTTGGTAAAAAATTGATTTTTTGATTTTTTAGTGATTTTTTTGGCTAAAAAAACTAGCTTTTTGATGGCTTTTTTTGTGTAAAAAAATTAAAAAGCCAAAAAAACTAACTTTTTTAGGATGTTCCCAAATTGTCCCAAAGCAAGGCTCTTCTACTCTTTTCTTCTTTTTTTTTCAGTTATTTGTTTTAGGGTTTAGATAAACAACGCTCTTTCATTTTATTGTATTTTTAAGGTTCTGTTTAATTAGGCTAAAAATGGTAGAAAGTAAAAGAAATGGAAAAAAAAATAAATAAATAAAATTGTAAGTTTGTTTAGCATGAAAGTGGTGAAAATTACAAGAAAATTAATTTTTTTATACAAATCATAATAGTATAGTAACTAAGCTTTTCAATTTTTTTGCAAAAAAACAAAAGAAAATACGAGAAGTTCAAATTTGTTATAAAGATAGTTACTTATAATTTGTTATAATTAGAATTACAAGAATTCTAATTATAAGTAATTACTTTTATAATAAATTTAAATTTCTTATATTTCTTATGTTTTTTACAAGAAAGTGAAAGCTTAATTACCACGCTATTATAAGTTATACAAAAAAAAATTAATTTTCTTATAACTTCCATCACTTTCATGCTAAATAAACTTAAAAAATAAAAAAATTCTATTTCTTTTACTTTCTACTATTTTTATCATAACCAAACTGAGCTTTTGAAAAGAAAAAAAAAAAAATCATGAAAGTGGGCTGTTTATCTAAACCCTAAAAAAAAGTAAAAAATAAAAGAGCCCCGCTTTATAAAAAATTTTTTTAAAAAAAAAAACAACAAAGAAAGCATAAAACGTTGTGTTTCATCCACACAACAGGACAGCAGTGACGGGCTCACACCCTGTCCCTCTCAAAATAGACTAAGGTGAACGAAACTTCATGTTTCCATTACTTTAATAACTCGACGAGGTGGACGTGGCGTATCCTTGAAGAGAAAGGATGGAACAATGATGCATATATTAAAATATTTGCATTCAAATATCATTAGATATTTAAATATTAATTTTTTATTAAAAACATATGCTCATTAAGTGTTTAAATATCATCATTTCTTTTTGACAACTAATTATATTTGACATCTTATACTTTTAATAAAATTATATTTTACAATGGTTGTCACAAATTTTTTGTCACTATCTATATGCATAATCATAATTGATTTTTTCAAAACAATTATAAAGGAAATAATAAAAACAAATGACATAGTATAACGTATTCAATAATATGAAGGAATAAAAAAAGGGAGAGAGGTTAAATTATACATGACCTCCCTTGAAATTTAGAAAAAAATATAATAAGCTCAAAATTTTAATATAATTACAGTAATCTCGTTTTTGGTAAAGCTAAATGAATCAAAAAATCAATACAGATAATGTAAAAACATAGATTAATAAGGCAAAATATACATTTTAATGCAAAAGAGATGACGATGCTATTTTTCTATCCATTTGACTAACAAATTATTAATAAAAATTTAACTTTGTTGTATAAATTAAAACCTCAAAAGCAAGTTTAAACTGTTTTCCTTGCAGATGTTTGGCTGTATAGAAAAATCTTTTCCTTGAATCAAGAATTTAAGGAATTTGTATTGAAAAACAAAAACAAAAACAAAAAATAAAACAAGAGAAAAGTGGATGAAAGATGTTTTTTTTTATACCTTTCTTTCTTTTTCCTTTTCCTCAATAAACTTCCCCCTTACATTGTTAATCCAAACACCACTTACGAGCGTACACCTTCATTATCAATATAAATTCAAAGTTAATCCAACAAGATAATCAAAACTTTCCCCATTTGCAATTGACTAAAATAACCCACCTCAACAAGCTTTTGACTGAAATCAAGTTAAATCTTTGAATTGGCAAGTGCAAAACCTAGGGCAATCCAAGTGCACCAGGCTCCGGCCACTATGGGGTCTAGGGAGCACCAAATGTATAGTCTTGACCCAGTCTTAACCCTGTATACAGAAAGGGTTTTTGTGACGAGTACAAAACCCAAACAACAGAAAAACTAGACAGGAGGAGAGGAGAGGAGGTGGTAAAGCTTAGGTTCTGGAAAGACATCCAATGTGCAAAGGCCTTATTGACCCGACCCAACCAAGGCCTAGAGGGGCCCTGCCTAGGATCGGTTCTTAGTTACCCAGAAATAAATAAATCACGTTGTTTGGATGCAGTCAATGAGAACATCTCTCACAGCCTGGCATACTTAAGAATGCTCAAAATGGTCACAACAGGCCATGCCAATGAAACCCATCAAGAAATTCTTTTAATAAAAATTTAACAAACGCATTGTTACTTGGAATCAGTAAGCTTTAAAATTTTTGGTAAATTCAAAGATCACTAAGAATACAGTGTAGCATGATAAAGCAACAAGCATGAAGTCCCTATGCCCACTTTGGGGCATCATTTTCCAAAACGCAAGAAATGCTTTCAAAGGTCAATCACACGAGAAAGCTTCTGAATCCGGTTTAGTAGGAAGTCTCCTTGCTTGATAGTTGCTTGATAAAGAGCATTCTTTGCATCTGGACGGTTAGTTTCCAAAACACCGGCAACTTTATCAATCTTGCAGTGAAGCTTCCCTGCTGCAATAAAACGTGAAAGTTCCCTGGTGCAAACAAGGAACTCGATTAAACACCAATGGTTCACAATAAAAATCGATAACAATCATACAGAAAAGATCAAAAGCATGATTGAGTGTATCTAGGAAAATGAGATCACTTACAAATCAATGAACTCCACTGTTACTCCAAATGCTTTTGCCATTGCCTCAATTGTGACACTCTTATAGGATTCCAAGAATTGGGAATAAACCACGGTCCTAACCTCCCTCATGTAATACCGGAAGTGGGGATGCAAATAACGGTCCAATTTTATTTGCTCCGTCAGGCCAGCTGAAAATCAATTGGATAAAATTTCAGATTGGAATAAACTATAAGATAACATATTCAGATTGGAACAATAGTTTCAGCTATTGATCAGCTTCACAGTAGTGGGGCATTTATACATGCATTGTATGTACTTGTTGTGTCAACATGAGAAAGGGCTTGTGATCCTCCTTTATATGTAGATCCCACATACCCAAATCTATCATGATTAGACTACTTCAGCCATTCAATTTCGAGTTCATTCTATGGGCAGTGTAAACAGATTTGAATATTTTCAAAGATTCCATGTGAAATTAACCACTTAATTTTCAAGAGCTTGGGCTTTTTTTAATTTCTATCCCATGCTTACTTGATGTGGCTCATCTTAGAGAAGCCATATATATATATATGCTAGACAATCGTGAAATATGTTGGGATGGGAACAAATCAAAAAATTAAAATATTTAAGATGACTTGGAATTACAATCCACACAGTTTTTATCCAAGAAGCATAACATAGCACCCCCACCAAAAAAAAAAAACTACAAGAGAAATTTGCATTATATTATGGCAACCATGACAAAAGCACAAGCTGAAAAAGAAGGTAAAAACAAGAAGCTCTATAATCAAAGGCAGAATATGAATACGTCCAACATTTTGACTACCTATCTATGTAATATATAATACTGCAAGGGTAAAATATGAGATATACAAGATAAATACTTACCAAATGCTGAGAAAAATGACTTGTACTGACAATCATATAAAGAGTTCAAAAACCCCGACAGATGCGGGATTTTCCCAATAACTGTCAAGATCTCAGGAGCATCAACTACCTGCAACATGTAGCAACACAGGCATAGTAACATTATAAGCATGCCACATAAACAATCCCTCCCCCTCCCTTTTTTTCTTTCTTTATCACCAGGAAAAACAAAAAGGGAAAGGAAAGTAAAGATGATCAAAAAAAAAAAGAAAACCAAAATACTGCCAGCCTAGAATCTCTCTAAAAAATTAACAAGGGGAAAACAATTCCATGCCAAAACCCTTAAGTGCAACTGTGCATACCTTCTGTTTCAAGGAAACTCTATCCAACGATATGATGCTGGTAAGGACCGTGTAAAATATGAAGTTGTCATATGGGAAAAGTTCATAAGTTGTGAAAGTTGAGATCGAATCAAGAAACAAACTGGTGGCTTTCTTAAAGTTTCGAGTAGACATGTAGTATAAGCCTTCATACACCTTTAGACGATTCTTCCTTTCCCAGTCACCTCCCTCCTCAAACAAGCTGTCAACAGCATGTTATTAGTTATTGGATCAGAGGCTGAAAATTGGTATTTTTAGTAAGAGAAAAGTAAAACTCTCAGGCCACCCCTTACTTCTTTGCTTTATCAATGCTCTTGGAAATAAGATCGAAATCCATATAGAAAAAGCCAATCTGTAGCGTATGGAAAACCAGGTCCATTTTCTGCCCAACAGCAACTGTCTTGCTTTCTGTTAACTTGAGCTGTTCCAAAGCCTTCTCCTGGGTTTACATCATGACAAGTTAGGAATAAAAGAAGTCTACACAAATGCGGTGAAAACAAGCAGATGATTAAAGAATTGAAAGGCATAACAGTTATATACCTTGTCGCCAATTCGTATGAAAAACAATGACTTGGCTAAATGGGCTTCTCTAACTTCGCTTTCACCTAAGTTTTCTTCGGCATCAGCAATCCTAAAAATGCAACCCGATAATGTCAAGTATAAAAGAGATCAATCAACTATACATCATGGACACTTGCACTACATTTAGATACACCGAAAGGGGAGTGAAGGGAAGTATAAATTGGTGACGGAAAGAGAAGGGAGGGGAGTTACCCCTCTTCTTGTTTGGTTAGATAATAATTAACCAGGGGGTAGGTAGGGTGACCTTTCCTTACTTTTGTTCAATTAGACAATAATTATAAAGGGAAGGTAGGTACAAAAGCCAAATAGGTAATGTTTAAAAATTAGAGGCTGTTTGGATAGACATGGATTTCAAAAATCAAGGATTTGACCTTGATCATTCAAGGACAATAACTCAAATTTAGAAATGCTAGCTTACTTATGTATTTCAAGATTGAGTTAAATAGTTTTATCATAATGGATTGAAATAATTATATAAAACTAGTTATTTGAAATCATGCCAAGAATTATCTTTCTAAATATAAGGATCCTTCTACAATATACATCTTTTTTATCTCAACTTATCTTCTTCCATTGTTTTCCTATTCATTTAACCTCAAATCAATTGATTTGAAATCCATATCTGTCCAAATGGACCCTTATATACTTATGTTTTCATAAAATGAGGGGTATAATTGGTATTAAAATTATATTTAAAAACCAGCACTTTGCTTCCCCTCCATGTCCTCCCAATTTTAGAGGAGAGGAGAAGTGTTCAATTTGTGGACCCTCCCTCCCCTCACAAACCCTCCATATACTTTCCATGGTTTTCTCAAAAACAATCCAAACAAGATGAATATTATATTAACCCATCCCCTCCCTATGCTTCGCTTCCCCCTCAAACCCCAAATCCAAACATAGTGTCACTGAAGATAACTTTCAAATGTTGTGAAGTGGTAGAAATGATACTTGAAGTTGGATCAGCGCAACTGATCCACTAGAGCACCCCCCATTACAAAGTATATTATTTTTTTCCCCTTTCCTTGGGTTTAATAAAATAGTTCAGAACTAATCCTCATCAATAACCTACGGCTACCAACACCAACGTTTTTCATAAGAGATCCAGCATCCATCATAAAAGTTAGATTAGGAGGTGAGCATAAGAAAACTCCCTAAAGAAAATGGTCACCTACGACATCACCAACTGAATTTATAAGACGGAAAAATGAGACAATATAAAAGGTATCCACAACCGTTTCCATAATTAAGTAAAACGCAAATAATATATATAGTTATATACACACATAGATAACAATTGTGTTTGTTACAATATTATACCTTTCTCGGCATTTTAGCTGAGATCTAAATATTTAGATTAGGTTGGCAATTTTTTTTTTGGGTGAATAATTAGGTTGGCAATTTCGTAAGACAAAACATGAGATTTGGTTGTATTGTATTTAAAATTGGTTGTAAGGGTAACTAGAATAGCGTTTGGTTTTTAGAATTATAATTTGAGAATAAAGTTGTATTTTGAATTTGTGAGTTTTGGAATTATGATTTGAGTGTGGAAAATTTGTTTGATTATGAGTTTTGAAAAGAATTTTGAATTGAGTTTGAAATGAATGATGTGACACATGATATTTGATTAAAAAAAAAAAACTCATAACCAAACACATAACCCAAAATTCTATTCAAAACTCATAAAAAAAAAAAAAATTAAATTCTAAAAATATTTTTTATTTAAAACATAAAAATAACAGGTGCAAAAAAAAAAAAAAAAAAACACTGTTTCGGTCAACCAGCAGAATGACTGGGTAGACGTGTTTTTGCTAGTGGGTGTGGAATCAATTTTTGAAAGTTGTATTCAAACACCACACTCAAATATGAGTGTGAAATCATGTTTAAAACTTCACGCCAAACACAATTTAGGTTTTGCTATTTTCCTTATCAAAAAATAAATAAAAAAGAAGGCGAAGATAGCTAGCTAGATAAGAATTGTTGTCCAAAATGTTGTCATGTGAAGACCGTCACAATAAATGCGGGCACAACTTTGTTGCTCCTGCAAGTAAATCTATATGAACATGTTGCAATAGAATTTAAGACACTTGGTTAGCGTTTGGTAGAATTTTCTAAATATGATTTGAGAATAGAGTTATATTTTGAGTTTGTGAGTTTTGAAATTATGATTTGAGTACGGAAAATTTGTTTGGTGAATAAATTTTAAAAAGAGCTTTGAATTGAGTGAAGAATTTTTGATGTAACATATGATTTTTGATACAAAAACTTACAACTCATAACTAAATACACAATTCAAAATTCTATTCAAAACTTATAAAAAAAAAATTAAAAATTCCGAATTTTTTTATTTATTTAAAATACAAAAAATAACAGGTGCCAATTGTCCCAAAAAAAAAATAATAACACTGTTCCGGTCAACCGGCCAGACATCCGGGAGGACAACCGGTTAGCCCAAATTTTCCAGTCTTTGAAAGAGTTTTCAAAAGTGTGTGGAATTAATTTTTGAAAACTCCAAACAAACAAAACACTCAAAACATGGGGTAGAAATGTGTTTGGAGAGCTTCTCCAAACACAGCCTAGGTTTTTGAGGTGCACACTTTTTACCTACTTAACCCTAATATAGTCTTGTTAATAAATTTCGTAGAAAACCAGTTAGAAATGGGCTAGAGCAGAGGCATTCATTCCTGCAGAACTCCTAAGAGCTTCCCAATGTGCGGTTGAAGCTGCTCGAATGAGCTGCAATCTAAAGATCTCCTATGAACTATGCTTGAAGTCCACTCAAGCACGGTTATAGATTTCAGTTCAAATTGGTTTATGATTCTGGAAGTTCTATATTAACTTGGCTTAGGGATTCTTTTTGGAGAAACAAGAATTACAACAACTTTTGAATGTGAAAAAAAACTAATTTATGCATAGGTTATCAAAATCTCTTGAAACCTATTTGTTACCCAATTTTTGAACTTGTTTTTCATGATTTATTCATTACTTTAGGGAGCTCTAAAGTGTTTTCATAAAATACATGCACATTCACTTGTCACACATAACCTTCAACTGTTGGGTAACGCAGCTGCGAGGACCTAGGATTGAAGATTGAAGCCAAGAATTCATTTGATCTGTTGGATCAACAGCAATTGAGGTGTTTAGGGCCGTGAGGAATGGAGAGCAAACAACGGGCTTTACGGAAGACTGCAAGATTAAGTTTAATTATGTTTGGGTAGTAAGTCCTTTATCTTGAGCTTGGTAAAGTCTTGATTGATAGTAGATTTGTTTGGTTGGGTATATTCGCGGTTTTCCCCTTCGCTCACAAGAGTTTTTCATGTAAATCGTTATGTTCATAATTTTGATGTGATTAACCTATGGTTGCCATTAGTATTTTTATAATCAAAATTGGCTTAACAATTGATTTGACAATACACATGTACGCCTCTTAAACAAGTGCATCAAATAACAAAGTTCAATTTGTTATTCAACCTTCTAAGCAACGCAATAATGTTACCTAAAATCTCGACTAGAAATATTGCCTAAAAACTCCAACACTTGCAAAATCTAGTCAAAATGTGGATTAACCCCACAACTGAAGTTCAAATCTCCATCATTATGATGATCCTCAGCGGTATAATGCAGAATGTTCACCCAGTTTTGTTTGAATACACAAAAAGCCGGTCCAAGTCACCTAGAAGAGAACCCATCCTCCTCACATTCTACATTTTCAAATTATATATTATCTTGTATACTGATTTACCACAACAATAAAAGAACTAATACATTAACAAAAAAACACATTTCTACTTACTATAGCAATGTATGCGTATAAATATACTAGAGGAGTGAGCACACAATACGTTTTTTGATAACTCCGTATCCAGCCCACTAGACCGACTAATCCGAGGGACTAATTCCACCTTCCCCAATAAGGAGGCCCATTTAAAGCCGGGGCAAAGCCCTATGTGGACTAGCCCCAAGAAATTATTTGTACCTATGAGGTTTCGAATGAGACCTTGGAGAGAGTACACCCCTAGGCTCCAAGTCTTGACCACTATAAAGAAGTTAGATCAATCATGACAGCTGCTAAATTTGAAGCAGAGTATAGCAAAAATTGTGACAAAGCTTCAAAGAGCAATGTGCTTTATACAATAGTATAGATGTAAAAAATCACATTCCCATCTTAGACACCACCAAAATTTCCTGTTGAACTCACCCTATGTAAGAAATTACATTCCCAGATTATGTAATGTCAGAACTAATTCAAGCCAGTGAGGGCATCTCCAGCCCTTACTCAAGTTTTTTTAGTAAAATCTCTATTTGAAATGAAGCACACCAATGGATAAACTCAGATTTAAGCATATATTTGAGTAAAAAGCTTCAGAGTTAATAATTTAAAGCGTTTTGGAGAATGTAAACTCACTTTTCATCGAGTTTTTTAAGCTGTTCATCGATCTTGGCACGCATCGAGGCCAAGAGATCCCAATCCAGGGACGAACTGGCGCCTAGGGTTTCATAAAGCCCGACCATATCTACAACAATGCAATAAAAAACCCTAAATCAATTCACAAAAACGAACAAAACTACCAAGAACAAATCGATTAGAGTGTTGTGATGGTTACCATCGGCTACGACGAAGTCCAGGACCTCTTCGCGGAGACGAAATTTCTCGATGTCAGGGACGTCTGGTTGGGTGAGGAGGAATAGCTTGTGAGCTAGCACTAGCTGAGGTTGCTGCGAACCCTCTTGACCTTCCATGGCTTCTCTCTCTCTCTCTCTCTCTCTACTCTTTGATACAGATTTCTGCGATGAGTCTGGTTTGGTTTCGCACTTTGCTTGTAGAAAGAGAAACCAGTGAGTTTTGTAATTGTGTATTTGTAGGGAAGAAAACGGATACGATCGCATGCGACTCGGGTGTAGCATTCCCTGATTGAAATTGCATTTCCGATTTTTTAATCGACCGACTCACGGCCGTCTGATTTTGGCAAACATGAGGGTTACCTAAAATTAATTTAATTTGTAGAATTTAAAATTTAAATATTTTTTTAAAAATATTTAGTATGTTTTGTTTCAGTTTTTTGAATTCATTTTTCTGAAAACTGGGCTTGTTTGGTTTGATTTTGGGAGATGAGTTTGGGAGATAAAAAGTACGAAAAGTTGTTTGGTTTGGTTTTTTTGGAAAGATGTTTTGGAAAATTATTTTGAGAGAGAGTTTTGGAAAAAGTGATTGATTTGATGTTTATGAGAGAGAGATTTGTTTGGAAAACTTGTTTGGTTTACAAGTTTTGGGAAATTTTTTTGAGAAAATTTGTTTGGTTTGAGTTTTTCTGAAAACTCATTTGTAGAGAAATTTTCCCAAAAATTTTTGGGAAATTCAAACCAAACGAATTGTTTTTCATATTTTTTTATTTTTAGTGAATATTTTTAAAATTTAAAATATTTTTTTTACTCTTTTAGATGCATCGATGTATCTAAAATAGTAAAATATTTGTGAAAAAATATTTTAAAAAATTAATAAATATACAAAATTATGAAAATGTATTGAACTTTTGTATTTTTTTATATTTTTGGTATTTAGTGTATTTTTTAAAGATTTTTTTCACAAATATTATAACTTTTAAGTGTATTTATATTAAGTGTGTCTAAAAATTAAAAAAAATGCTTAAAATATTAAAAAAAATCATTGAAAATATTAAAATATGAAAAATAAAAAAGTTTAATTTTCTGAAAACTGAAACCAAATAAGCTGATAAATTTATTTTTTTAAATTAAAATTAAATTTTCATTTGATTAAAAAAAATTAAAAATACTTTTAATTTTTTCATAATTTTATCTTTTTATCAAATTTTTTCTCAAAAACAAAACAAGGTCATAACATTATTTCGTTAAAATATTATTAAAATGAATATTGTTATTGCCATCCCATTTATTATTTTGAATCCCCTATTTCTTTTTGGTTTCACTCATAAACTTTAAAATACTTAAAATTTATTTCCTTCCACCAAATAATACTCCCTCAGTCCAAAAGTGAGTGTTTAGGAAGTTATTATTTTAATAAGCTATTTTAATTTTTGATTATTTTAATATATTAAATTTTTTGTGTTTGAAAAAATGATTAGATTTTATTGTAATTAGATGTGATGTTTGTGAGAAAAAAAATGAACTGATTATAAATTTAATGTGACATTTTATCTTATTAGCTATTTTGATTTATTTTGTCTTTTATGGATTTGAACATAAAAATGGCTAAAATTTTTATTGCCAAACAATATTGATCATTTTTTAAAAATTCAACTTTTTTTGGTAGTATATTTACTACATTTCAAAAATATTAAGTCGCCATTTGGCATTGACTTTTTTGAGTTGTGACTTTCTTAGCTTGGAACTACAAAATTCGCTTGGTTTGGCTTTTTCGACTTTTGTGAGATAAAGTGAACTGATTATGGTTGGGATATGACATTTTATCTTATTAACTTATTTAGCCTATTTTGTCATTTGTGTTTTTTTAGCCCAACTAAGTTGACCAAACGGAGGCGGTTTTCAAAACCACTCTTTGATTTAAAATTAAAACAATACATTTTTTTTTTGAATATCAATTGTTATAATTATACGTTTTTTTGTATATTAATATTAATGAATTTAAAAGAAGAGCAAAATATAAAATTCATTCCCACCCAAATGCACACCCCATACGTCTAAAAATCATTATCTTTCAAAATCCTTTAAAAAAAAAAAAAAAAAAAGTCCCAAAACCACTCACTCTCTCTCTCTCGAGACAGTAGAAGAAAAATAGTTCTGAAGTGAATTGATTGATGTAAGGAATGTGTTTTTTTAAGATTTTCACTTTTTTCTTCGTATTAGGTACACATGCCTTCTGTCACGACCCGCTCCCCGTACCCAGGGGTTAAGCATCGTGATAGTCAGTAACTGAAGTTACCTCCGGCCAATTCTTAAACAAATTAATAAACGCAAGTGGAAGAAATATTTAAGTAAGGGTACCAAAATAATCATTGGAGCTTCTATTTTTATTACAAAATTTATTGACAAAAAAGGCCGATATTTACATAAAAAACATCATAAAAGTGTTGCGTGTGTCTATTCTGCAGCCCCGCATCTAAGACTTTCCAAAGGCTATTTCTGAATTGCACTGTTTCCTGAAAATTGGTAAACAACTATAAGCACTTGGCAGAGTGAGAAACATTATACCAAGTGACGTGTTTAGGCCCACAAAGGTCATAGCCCACTATGAACAACCCAAGCCCATCATTTAGAGCCCAACACATAACCCAACTGATGAGATCCTGAACAGCAGGAGGCCAACATGGCACGAAGAACCAAGGATATTCAGACATGTGGCAGGCAAAGGACAAGTCACATCAGCAGACAAAGATCTGCAAAGTTATTGTCACTGCACATCGCCATTAATGCAATCCATCACAGCATTTATTACGACAACACCTCTCCGTCGGAACAGCACTCCTTCACCCTGAACAAAGTAAGCTACAGTATAGACTTTCGGCCAAGGTGGCAGGTCGGAAGGGACGGCGAAATGATTACCAAATGATATAAGCAGACGTTGAAGACAAGAAGAAGGTTAAGTTTTCTATCTCCAATTCACATCTCTACATTTCACTTCTCTCTCTCTCTCTAACTTGCTCGTCGGAGGGTTCGCTAGGGGACTCCCCGTTCCCCGTTGAACTCCTGTGCAGGTTCTCAGGTGGGCTTGGCCATTCAGATATCGGTTGGAGAAGCGTGAACCAGTCCGACCCATTCCCTCTGAAACCCGTTGTATCGTAACTGTATTATCAGTTGGCGCCGTCTGTGGGAAGGCTTTGCTCCTCGCGCCAGCTGTGTTCACTGTCGCCGGAGACCCTGTTCCAATAACCCTTTCTCGCTACCCATCGAAATGTATGGTCACGACTAGATCCATGGCTTCTCACCAAAATGCTGCTGACCACCAAGCCGACCCCCCCCAATCCAAACAACCCACTACAATATTTCATCGAGCTTACCAACAGCATTAACCACATGGCCGAGCAAAACCAAGCCCTGATTAATGCCCTACTCCAAAGAAATCTTCCTATGCCCCCTCCACCACCTCCCGATATTCCTCCCAACCACGAACAAGCCCCGAGCCATACTATCCCGCAGCCTAATCCACCCAATAGAGAAGGGTTGCAACCCCCTCCCCTAGGTATAAACCTGCCACCCCGGGGCCCACAACTATCGATCCCGGCACCAATCCTTGAAGGAGATGCCAGCAGCGTCTAGCCCCCGTTGCCCTCCGGAGGTGATCACATCCCTCTCTGGGACACGGAACTCCGAGCCATGAAGCTCCAACTCCAAGGGGTCATGCAGAACATCCAGCATAAACCCTCTACCACAGCAAACTCATCATTTGTCGCCTTTATCCGCAACAAACCTCTACCTCTCAAGTTCAAGATGCCCACCATCGACTCTTTTGACTGCACGACAGACCCAGTCGACCATCTGGAGACCTACAAAACCCTCATGATCCTCCATGCATTCCCTGACGAGATCATGTGTAGAGCTTTCCCCGTGACACTGAAGGGGTCAGCTCGGCTGTGGTTTAGCCAGTTACCAGCAGACTCTGTCTCCACTTTCCAGTATCTCAGTGACTCATTCCTCAGCCATTTTATTGGAGCCCAGCACCAGCGACGCTTGGCAACCCAACTCCTCAACATTCGACAAACCGAGGGGGAGTCGCTACGCAGTTTTGTTACCCGCTTCAATACTGAGGCCCTATAAGTAGCGAAAAATGATGACAAGGTCATCCTCACAGCTTTCATGGCCGGTCTGCGGTCATCCGACTTTCTGTTCTCCCTCTCTAAAACCCCCCCGACCTCCATGGCAGGCCTACTCTCCAAAACCCAAAAATACATGAATGCTGAGGATTCCCTAGCTGCCCGGCAAGATCTAATAACCAAAAACCCGACCCCTAGAGAAAAGAGAAAAGACTCAGAACCAAGAAACACCCAGTATAATAGCTAAACACCACACTATACAAATCGACCCCCCCTCGAGTTGACCGATCGGCACCAGCTCGACCGCCAGGTCGGTTCGAGCGATACACATCCCTTAATTCCCCCATAGAACAAGTCCTCAATCAGATCCAGTGGGACTACTCCCTTAAATGGCCCCAACTTTCACGAACCCCTTCAAATCGAAAAGACCAGTCCAAATATTGCCGCTTTCACCAGGACCATGGCCATAACACCGATAAGTGTGTTAACCTCAAAGATCAGGTCGAGACCCTCATACGCCAGGGACGTCTTAGCCGGTTCACGGACACCCGCCCTCAGCAGAGGCAGAGAACTGAACCCCTCAGAAACAACTGCCAGCGCACCCTCCCGGCAGCCAGCCCAACCTAACCAAGGCCATGATCGCCCTCCACAGTAACCTCGGCTACTAGGCAACCCCCCCACCTGTTGGAGAAATCAGAGTCATTTCAGGTGGCCTTGCTTGCGGGGGACCATCCCGCTCGACTCAGAGGGTAGAACTCAGGAAGATAAGGCAGGGCTCAGACAAAGCAGTTGCCACAGTCGATCGACCCTCCAAACAGCCCAAGCAGTGGACCGAGCCTATCACCTTCACGGACACCGACTGTACAGGCATCCGCTACCCTCATGATGACCCTCTCGTCATTTCTGCCCTTCTCTCCAACTATAAGGTCAGACGAGTTCTCATCAACAACAGCAGTTCTTCAGACATCATCTTTCTCAACTGCTTTCGCCAGCTCAAAATTAGAGAGGAAAGTCTGTCTCCTCTCTAAACCCCTTTGGTCGGTTTCACTAGGGACCGGGTCACCTCCATCGGCTCCATCGATCTTCCCATCAC